GACAGTGAACTTAGCTATCTTCCAATTATACTGATGTTTGCATAGGCTCGTGTTTAAACATAGACATACGGCAAGTTTGTGGTGCTAGTAATTCTAGATTACAGACAGTTAACTTAGCTATTTTCCAATTATGCATTCAAGGTTTGCCATTCTCACTTAGCATCAGACTTTGTTCTCTTGTTTTGGAATAGTAACCGAAACATTGTATCATTTCAGGTCATGAATACAATGCAACAGGTTCTGGAGAAGAAACTGATGTAAGTTTATATTGAATTATGTTCTAGGATTATAGTTAATAAATAAGATTAAATTAGTACTCTCATTTAGTACATAATCATCATTATTAGCAGTTTATAAATGCTGTTGACCATTATGAGATATCAGGGACCTGATACTGTATAAAAATTGCAGTATATTATGTCACTGTAATGATTATTTATAATAATCACCCCTTATATATGAATTACCTTTAATTTATATGTTTATATTTTCTATTTTATTATATGTATAGCATGTATTGGTATTCTATTTAAATTAACGTTTGATTTATTTCTACCTCTACCAGAACCGAAAATAGTAACGCACATGATGCAAGATTAAAATCTCACCTGATCAGTTTATTTCCACTCTCCTATTTACGCAGCTGTGGGCTTGCTGCTGCTTGGTTGCTTAAAGTTATTAGGTCCGCATTTTAGCGATCGATTTAAAATCTTCCTTTTTTGTTTTCGTCTAATGGTTTCTTGACGTCTTTTTCAAGTTTATTTTTGTCTTAATTTTATTTTTGCATATAATTATTGAATTTAGCGGGTTTTTTTGTTTTTGTTTCTAAGAGCTATTTTTTGACACTTTAAATAAGTGCACAACACAGACAACGTAATTAGAACACCATTGTGTAGGCGCAGCATTTATTAGTTAAATCAATATAACTTAATCGAACTTTATTTTTTTTTTGTTCTTTCAGATACGTGTAGAACCATCATCAACCTGTCCGATGCTGTAGTGTATCCAGCCTCGTTAATTAGAATACGTCTTGCAGCATTCCCATATTTCCACTAGAAAAATTTCGGTGGAATTTAAATCTATAGAGGTAAAATGATTTTTTTTCTCTCTCTTTGTTTTATAGATATTATTATTGAATTTAGCAAATTTGTTTTTTTCTTTGTTTTTAACAGTTATTTTACTTTACTTATTTTTTTCGGTTGACTCATGAAAGGATTTACAACGTAATTCAAACATCACTGCGGTGGCGCAGCATTTATTCGTTAAATCAATAGAAATTAATCAAATATTATATTTTTTTTTGTTCTTGGAGATACATGTCGAACCATCTTCGAACAGTCTACAGATTTCCATTCGAAATGCCATCATGATGAATTCTTATTCTTGCTTGTTATCATTGCCGAACATTCGGCGATTTTGCATAGACTAACGAGAGAACGTTAGTTTCATTTCTTCATCCTGCAGTCTTTTTAACACACGCACTCGTTCCTTTAGACGATTACGTGAAACAGCAACACTAAATAATTTGTTTGTTTTTGAACATCTTTTTATTTGGAAAATTTATCTTAGCCGAAAGAATATTTCGGCATTTAATTCCAAATACTCCTCCCTTCTTTCCCAACGACGATAGACTTTTCGGCGCCACGAACTCGACCGTTTGCAATCTCAATATATATTTACATCTAAATAATATCTTTAAAGTTAATTAATAGTAAGTTACTTGTTTTATTTGTAGTAATAGGCTAATCACAAATATATCTAATTACATAGGAAACTATTAGGCATTGAGACTTAATATCATCGTGTATTCTTATAATTAAGTTAAACAATCATTTAAAAAAAATCATGATGGAAATATGCATTAAAACATTAAAAAAAAGAAACATGGTGTCCTATTACATTCTTTGCTGGTAATTTAACAAATGACGTAGTGATGAAGATAATGGACTGATGATGGTGGTGATGATGTTGAATGCAGATCTTAAATTCAGCAGCGATAAGTTAAGATGCTGCATGGATGAACGTGTCAACTCATCGAGATTCAAGAAACATCAACTAAGCAAACGATAGATTTTATTAGTCTCCCAAACATGTATTCTAACCATCAATCAATCAAAGACCTGTCTCTTATACACATCTAGATGTGTATAAGAGACAGAACATGTATTCTAACCATCAATCAAAGACGCACTTAAAATTTACAACAACTGTTCCGTTTTAACGTTATATCGGTCCGTGAAACAACACGGTACGTCATCGTTGTCCCCCGTCTCAAATGAGCGAACTTAATCATCTTTATCGTCACTTTCATCAACACCTTCATTATAATCATCATCATTATACTCCGACTTTAAATATTGAAGTCCGACACATAATTATTGTTATTTTCTATTATTTATTAAAAACTATCAGTCGTCATATTTATTTCAATTCGAATAACGATTTATTTTGTAAGAAATGTTGCTCCAAAACTGTCAATCTTTGGAAACTTGAGTGCAGCAACGTCGTGCTCAAAAGTTCCACGATGAACCAGTAGTACACGTGTTTACTATCCCGTTCTTACAATAAGTCTTCCGACGGTATTCGTACGTACTTGGGTAAACTGTGTGAAAGAATAAGAATAAAACGAAAAATTATTGAATATTATTTAATTAAAAATTCTTGTAACGAAAATCGATATAAATTCC